AGCAGCAGCAGCAGCAGCAGCAGCTAGTACTGTAGTTAGATGTTTTCAGTAGTAGTAGATAGCGTGATACCCAGCGTAGATAGTTTTACCAGTAAGTCAGATAGAAATTCCATCGAGTGACCCAATCTGACACGATCAGGAGCTGATTTCTTTTGACATGCAAACAAATCCAAACTGAGTTTGACACAAGAGGCACCCATCGAGCGCATTGGAATCACGTTTCCTAGCATTGTGAATGTCATTGCCGGAAGTGCTTGCCAAATCCAGTACAGCAAATCAGTAACAAGGGCAGCGCTACTAGGGGCTCCTGGCATCGCTACTAGGAGCAAAGGACGCTACTGGGGGCTCCTGGCCGTACTACTAGGAACAAGGACGCTACTAGGAACTGCTTGCCGGATAGTTGTAAGAGCGCCCTGTTGACGCTTTCGCAGACCTGCCCAAAAGCTGTCGACAGATCCTCGCCCCCAAGACATACCATTCACAGCTCCGCTACGGACACGCACTTGCTTTTTGTGCTTGAGTCTTGGGGGGTTTAAACGGTGCTTGATCTGCAATCTCCCGAATTTGAACTTCATCCAATTGTTTAATCTCAGAGGAGGGGAGGAAGTGGCCTTTGCCATCTTGGTGATCAGGTGTGGCATTTGCATTTGGATCTTCTCCCTGATCCTGCTACGGCTGTCTGGCCTATCAGGCACCATTTGGGACATTTGTTGGCCTGTCCCACAATGCCTGGTATGTTTTGGGAGATTCTGAGTCTACGGAACTTCTGTTTATTCCACCATCATCCTACGTGTTCCGATGCGATAGATGCAGCAAACAAGGAATAACACACACACAAGGTCCATACCGGCCAACTTGCATGTTGTTCAACCGCTTGTAAAATTCGACCTGCGTCAGCCCAAACTTGTTCAGGGATACAAGAGTTTGTTTCTCTCATCCAACTCCAAGATTCTCAGTGTGAGGCAAGCATGGGTGACTTCAGTCTGCCCCCCCCCGGTGAAATACATGTCAAACAGCTTCTGGACTGAGAAACCTGTTTACACCCGGCAGTTCTCGAGATGTGACAACACGTTGTGCGAGGTCACGACTTTGTGCCATCTAGAGACTTGCGACCAGCGCCTCGACAAAGGGTGCGCCTCAACGCTGCAGAGAGGAGTGGAGCTAGCAGCTAGTGCAGTGAACTAGTTTTGCGCTTTAAAAGTCTGGAACGAAGGAAAGAGTACAAGATCAACCAAGAGATCCGAGCAAATGAAGTGCGTGTAGTGGGCATCAGTGGCGGTGAGTATGGCCAGATAGAGGACTGGCAAGAACACCGCGAATGTGGTAGGAAAGTGGAAACTGTTTTGCCAATCTGTACGATCTCAGGATCAACTGAGCCTGCTCCTCACGTCAGGACACCAATGAGATTATGTCGTTCAACGCCGCACTCGAGAAAGCAGAGAACATGGGCCTGGATGTGATCCTCATTAATGAGGTCCTTTTCAGTTTTGCAATACACGGGCGCCAAGACTTCCGAAGTGACATCAGGAAGTACTGCTTGCAAGCATCAGGACCAAGATCCACCACTTGTGAAGATAGCAAGTCCGGTGCTTTGGAGTTTGCCATACTCGTGTGACAGCAGAGCTTCCCAGGTTGTTTGCGCAAAACAACTTTGGCACTGTCTGTGTCAGTGTTAAATGTTGACTGAACAAAACGTCCAGGCCTTGAGGGCATAGGTATCAAAAAAAAAGAGCATCAAAAAAAAAACAGGATCAAAATAAAAATAAAAAGCGAATCAAACAATAAATACTCCTTGATAGGCCTTTTCTGCTGCTCTCCTGGCCTTGTGGTCTGCGGGTCCTCTGGTAATGTGGTCCCTTGGTCCTCTGGTCCACTGGTCCTTTGGTCCCCTGGTCCCTTGGTCCTTTAGTCCACTGGTCCCCTAGTCCTCCGGTCTCCTGGTCCTCTGGTCCTGTGGTCCGCTGGTCCCCTGGTATCCTAGTCCTTCTGTCTCCGAGCGCTTTGACAACGCCATGTAGGGCCTAACTTCGTGTGAACGCCGTGACTACTGCTACTGCTACCACTACTACTACTACTACTCCTGCTGCTGCTGCGCTGCTGCTGCTGCTGCTGCTGCTGCTGGTGCTGCTGCTGCTGCTGACTGCTACTGCTACTGCTACTGCTACTGCTACTGCTACTGCTACTGCTACGCTGGTGCTGCTGCTGCTGCTACTGCTACTGCTACTGCTACTGCTACTGCTACTACTACTACTACTACTACTACTACTACTACTACTACCCCAACCATCCTCAGTGGGCTAGAATATTTTTTTTATTGCCTTTATATTTTTTTTATTGATCCCCGTTGATTTTTTTTGATTCTATTTTTATTTTTCTTTTGATCCCTTACCCCACCTGCCTTGAGCCTCGCATTCGTAGAGATTGACTCAGGCATTGGCAAATACCTCTACCAGGAGAGCAAGAAGAAAAAGGCCCGTCCTTTTTTTACCACCGACTTCTCCTTGGTGATTTTATGTATTCGGAGGAACAAGGAAAGAACAAGCAGCCGAAGATGAAGGAGGTGAGAAGATGAAGCAGCCTGCCAATCTGAGAGTTCTTGCCGCATGAACAACAGATTGGCCGGAGAGTCATTTGCAACCGGCCATGTTCCCACCACTGCAACAGTGAGAAGGGCTGCCACCAAACCCATGCACATTCCCATCGTTTGTCGATGCTGATGAGCAGGTAAAGATCAGCTACACGATTGGTGATCATGATCTCTTCACAAGGTGCCCAGCAGTCAAAAAGGGACTTGTGTTTTTCTCAGCCAACTGGTTTGATGTGTACTGCGTGCGTGCAGCTTGTGTTCATGGACTTGTGGACAGTCCCTGGTTGTTCTGCACCAGGATCAGGGCGATTGAGCAGTGGGTAGAAAACCCTCGTCAGCAAGCAACTTGTCAAGCAATTCTCTGGCCCCAGAAGAGGACTTTTTATGCCCAGGAGCTACTAGTAGCTTCTTGTTACTAGTAGTAAGGCCAGGAGCTACTAGTAGCGTCGTTGCTACTATATAGTAGTAGTAATGCCCGTGTTCCTTGTAGCGATGCCCTTATTACTCGCGCAAATTTATATAATTTTCTGGGGGGTAAGGACTTTAACACAGTTTGACTCCATTTCAGCTCTCCTTGCAATTGCTTTAGACGAAAAGAAGAAGGCAGCCATTGGCTTCGCAGGCAGCTTCACAATGGTCCAGCATCTACGCAAAAGGATACTTGCAATGAACACAAGCTTACTCGCACAGAATTGGCTGATGACTGCAGTTGTAAACAGCATCAAGTGGAAGTTGCACAGAGACAGTTTTGGACTGCCTCAAGGGACACACTCCTAACCAACGGAACTTCGTCGAGCACATGATGAAGCACTCTAAAGCCTGCAACAGTTGTCCGAATGAAAGCTATACAAACTCTGGAGGACTGCACAGTTTGTGATGCGTGGCTCTCTCCACAGACTGACCCACCCGAATCAGAGGCAGTGAATCGCCCACAAAGCGGGACCCAATCAGCTCGCCAGAGCTTCATTCCTGATTCTAGAACTTGATATTTATGGCCATTTTATATAGTATTAGCCACGATACGATACAGTATGGATTCTGACAGTGGGCTTTATCATTTTTCTCAGGATTGACTTTTCAGACTTGCCTTATACTTTGATGTGCATTCTGGAACAGGCAACACGGGCAACAGGTGACAAGAGAGAAAGGTGCGAACAGCAGCCTGACCCAGAACAAAGACATCAAGACCGCTGTCTTTTTTGCCTGCAAAAGTGCTTTTGTGTTCTCTCCACTTGCATTTGGTCGCCTTTTCCAAACACTTAAGCCAGTGAAATCCGTGTTGTGAAGACACATTTTGTGTGCGAAGAGACGCTCTTTGTAACCTTTTAGACATTCTCATGGTACTCACAAGAGTCGTGTGCTGTCGAGTCGAGTCACAAAGAACATGGTGAGAAGTCGAGATCCACGTCTGTCGTTCCACCCCAAGATCGTGCCCATTTGTGTGCGTGTGGGTGGCATGATGATGGAGAAGAAGGAGAAGAAGAAGGAGAAGGGCCACGACTGTTAGAGAGAGCTTTTTCGCTTTTTCAAAGAGCAGGAGGCCTCAGCTTCCGGACAAGCCGGGCAATCTTCTCTCTCCTGCTGATGACCTGCAGACTGTGGAACATGCAAGGAAAATGCGCAGGAGACCCATTGGATCTTCAGGAATTTTCTCTCGCAGATTGAGGATAGCCAATCTTGAGCATATTTCTTCTTGAAAGGCAGGGCTGACTCACGTTGCGCCTGGCTGTGTTTGGAAGTCTTTGGTCAAGCCTTGCGCGCGCACCTTCGGCATGACAAGCAAAAGATTGCAACAGAGGGGCCTTGTACACTCGTTGTGTGACAACACTGTTGCCTCCACTATCCACTACCCCGAAAATTGAGCTCGGGAAGGACCCGGGTCAGTGCTCCGCAGTTTGGAGAGGAACCAGGTAAGCTAGGTGGCAAACACCCGCCAGGATCCAGACCAAGATCGGTCACCTCAGATCACAACCTTGGCTCAACCGAGACGGGCTTGTATTTAGGACCACTCCTACCTGTTCCACGAGATGAAATCTGACGCGCAATAGGCGCAATACGGGAACCCATTCCCTCCAACATGTGTTACATGAACACTGCTGCGCACAGATGCTGATTCAGCCCAATGGTTGCTTGATGACAGACGCTGTAATTTTGCTCCCAGACGCAAGTGGACCTTTGAGTTTCGGTCTGTGGAGGCTGTTTGGGGCACGGGCTGGTACGGGACCTTCCATGAGACTCCCTTGAAGAGTTGGTCCACACGAACTTCCTGACGGAAGTGCGTATAGAAAGAAACATTAAGAAAAAGGAAGATGAGTTTGACGGATTGGCACTTCATCTACTCCTCTGAATCCACAGCTTGTTCTAAAACATTTGGATCTGCACCCCTCTGGGCAAAAAAGAACAGCAACTGGAACTAAATTAGGAGTTGGGAACATTGAGCTGATTGAGAAAAGTTCTCACCGTTGTTTCCTTGCCTGGGCTGGCTGCCTGCCTGCCACCACCAAGAAAAACAAACCCTGAACATCTCAAGGGCCAGAACAGCAAAATGCTGATGTTGTGGCGCCCAATTCTATAGAGGTTATTTAATGTTATTTCAGTCTCTGACATGTCCATCGGTATCTTGGGTTCCCCATTTCCATAGGCAAAACAGGCCAAGAGTGATGGATGTTTAAACTTGCTGGTCGTGGACTATATATATATATGTATAAATTGCATGTTTTCATGAGTATCTGATACTATAGAGAGCCCCCCTTACAAGGAGGTTGGGTTCTCCATTTCATGTCTCTAGAATTGGGGACCATGAGATACCGGCTTAATTCCAAAGAGGATGTTTAACGTTCTGTGAGGCACTTCGATCATTCCGTCTTGATGACTTTCCTGCTTGTTCTCAGGTAAAGGTGCAGGTGGTCCTGAAGGGCCGATCCCGAATGTTTGAAAACCAAGCGAGGCCGACGATTTTAAATGTTTGAACAGGCGAATGTTTTTGGCGTGTTCAAAACCATGAGAATGCTCTGAGTCACTCTTTCAATCTCTTTCTAGCTTCGTGAAATCGATATCTTTCGCAGGCAACTCCTTGAACGGATACGTCGGGAGGTCGCCGCTTTTGCAAAGGTGCCTGGAGTGGCTTGGAAACTCAGAGAGAAAGCAGAATCTGGGCTTCATTTCACCTGATTTTTTAAAGTTAGTCTCCCAACCAAATTTCAAGTTGCCAACCCGCCTTCACCCTGTCTCCCAAGATGTTCCATTCTTTGTCCTGCATAGGGCAGAGATCGATTGTGCAGTTTTGCTCGCAGTGCTTCCAGTGTTTGAGAAACTGACGGGCATTTTTCTTCTCTAATGTGCTGTGCATTCTAGAAACAATAGTGCTAGAATTATATAGGGTCGTCTGCTTCATTCGATTCAATTCCATGTCCATGCAGGTTTGTGATTGGCACCAGTCCCTGGGTACCCGACCGCAGGAGAAGAACATCGATCCCATTAACAAAGATGGACGAGGTAGCTAGCTTGGATTTTGAGTCTCTGCAAGATCCAGCTGGTCTTAGAAGCTACCAGACCATGGATGACTCTTGTCATTGGACATCACTACTCAAAGTTGACCACCACACAATTCACGCAACTGCTGTGTACAACTTGGTGCAAGAAGAAACCTTGTGTCCGCACATTCATTTTCAAGACAGCAAGAACAAGTCTAAGAAATGGAGTGAAAGGAAGGTGTTTACTACTAACCCCAAACACCTTGCTCTTACACTTCTTGCTGCTGACTTCTTCTGTCTTAGGTGATTTGTTCATACTCCTTGGAAGTGGTGCTGGACTCAGAAATGCGCCTACGGAGAAGTTTGCAGTTTGACTTTTTTGTGACACAACTGCGCAACTTCCACATTCTCATTAGTTCTTTTCTATATTCCCTGGGGCCCTTACTCAACCGGGTCATGGACACGGTGCTGTTGCTATACCTCAGAGCAATTTGTATCTTGCCGCCGAGACCTTTGTTTTGAGCTTACCGGACAGACCTTGTGTTTGTGGCATCAGGTCCAGACAGATCACTCCTGAAAAAGATCATTGAGGAGAACTTGGGGTTGTCGAATACTGTGTGTGAGAACCGGAGTGATCCTCAATGACCTGAGCTAAATCAACAGTGAGGCCGCAGGCCTGTCGCAATTTCTGTTGCCTGGTTCATGTGTGCAGCGCAGCGGATACAATGAGTGCTTAGGGGAACACAGAAGTTCCAGGCACATCTTAAGCAAGACACGAACGCAGCATCGGCCAACTGCAGGAAGCTGGTGGCAAGAAGGCGTTGAGTTCAAGTTCTAGACAAAGATGCCGATGTCTGCGAATCACAGCCAACGCATGACCAAAAAAGAAGTACGACCATACATCAACAGATCAGACAAATGCCCATTCACCTGCGCAAGATTCCACGCATTGCTTCCTTCGCCACAGAAGTGCAGAAACGGCTGTAGTTATATACAGGGCTTCCTGTAAGGTTTTGTGTCTCAGAAGGTGCAATATTGGATCGAGTTGCGTGATGGCTTGTGTAGGCCCTCCAACAAGACGCAGACAAGGATGAAGTGGAAGAACCAGCACCTGAAAAGGACTTTGAAGCAGTCGAGCAGTTCATCTAATCTTCAATGTGAAAGGTAAAGGGGCATTTGCTTAAACTCTTCCTTTTTCAGAACACATTCTCTGAGCCTTTTTCGCATTTTACTTACTATGTTGTGTTTTTTCTTCTCTCTCTCTCCCCCTCTCTCTCTGTCTCTCTCTCTCTCTCCCTCCTCTCTCCCTCCTCTCTCCCTCTCTCTCCCACTCTCTCTCTCTCCCTCTCTCTCTCTCTCGCTCTGTCCACTCTCTTGCAGCCGCATTTGTACATCAGGAAGTAAGAAGCTCGGCAAAGGAGGCCGGAATCCAATGTTCCTCAATGTTTCTCATGTACCATTATGTAGCATAGTATGTTCTCAAGTTTCAATGAGGACAGTCTTCTTCCCCCCAAAGTCAGTGCATCCTCCTCAACATTCACGCAATGTATATAATATTGGTGATTCCATCCAGATTATCAATGCTTCAGGCCGATGAGGTCAAACGAATTGAAGAAGAGATCAAGGAAATGAGAAAGGACTGCCGTCAAATCTTTGACAATTCGCAGCCTGCGGTTCCAAACTTCTCGGATCGAACAGTCGTGTTCTTGGTTCATCCGTTGGTAGGAAAGCTTCCTTACAGTGAGGTCTCTTCAAGGAAGCTTCTCCCACTATTCTGGACTCCCCTACTGGCCAGCTTACCAGTCAGGCCATGCCAGGCCCACAGCCTACTCCTCCGTTCCTGAGATACGCCAAAAAAGGAAACCGACATCCAAGAAAAAACACAAAAAACAAGGCAAAGAGGCAAGGCATTTTCAGATAAACATTTTGATTGTTGGAGGCCATCGCTATTAGGTTGGAGGTCATTGCAATTAGGTTGGAGGCCATCGCTTCTAGGTTGATGTTTCGCCATTTTGCAACAAGCTGCACCTCCACAAGTCCATCGAGTTGGCAAGGAGCTGATCGATTGCGGTGTCAATCCGGGCAAAGTGAACGAGGAACCTGAGATACAGGACCGCTGGGTATTTTGATTGCAAAAGCAGCTACAGTGACAGCTACAGCTACAGCTACAGCTACCTACCTATCTATCTATCTATCCACCTATCTCTCTATCTCTCTATTTGTTTGTCGGTCTACCTGTCTATCTGTCTATCCATCCATCCATCTATCTTTCTTCCTTCTATCTATCTATCTCATACAATACCTTACAATACAATACAACACAATACAAAACAATACAATACATCCAACGCAATCCAAGGCAGCACAATACAATACAATAATGCATGCATACATACATACATACATACATACATACATACATAGACAGACAGACATACATACATACATACATACGTACATGATGGGCATTCACACTTGATGCCACACCATCCCACTATGACAGCCGCAGCCAAGTCTGGGTTTTCGGCCTCTGCATACACACCCAATCCATGCGGCAATTGAAAAGACTGGGGGCAATCACAGGAGTGCCTCAGGGACAGCAGACCAAAGGCAGAGCACTCTTTGCAGGTTTGGTGGCACTAGCCAAGCACACGACCAACCCAGTCAAGGTCATTGTCCAACTCAGTTCAGTTTGGGAGGCTTGGAATAAACAACCACACCAACATCCATACCCAGACCTCCTTGATGGCATCACAGACCAAGACCGGAGGCGCATCACCGTGCTTTACATCAGCCGCAGCACCAAGACACCTGATGCACCTGGCAGCGAGCCACAGCTACGCAGAAGGCAGAGGGATGCAGCCCTCACAGCTTGGGAACGAGCTGATGGGCTCCATGACCGCAGACTCACAGCATGGCAACAAACTCTGGACAAGGATCACAAGAAGATTTACCTCCATGCTGTCCAAAGGCTTGAGAAGATTTTTGAGGACAAGCAACACTTCATCCATAACAAAGCGGACCGGCAGCCCGGCAAGCACACCAAGCAGAGGAAAAAAGACCTCACCCAGCAGTGCAACAAGCCCTGGCAAGACCCATTTGACCGATGGGCACCCCAAAGGAGCGGCTATGCATGCACAGCCTGTGGCACCAGGATGCACCAAGGCCCAACGGCACAGATCCTTGAGGACAGACTTGCAGAGCCTTGCACACAACTCCAGGCCCCGGCCCGGAGGCACCTCAACCTGACAAGAAACCTACCAGGATTCAGATCATCAAGAACCTTTTGCAGGCACAAGCTGGTCAAGAACCTGCCAAAGATACACATTGCTTCGAAGAAACCAAAGGCTACCTGAAGTGCACTAAATGTGGCACCAGCATCCACAAGAGGATCAATGAAAAAGCCTTCACCGAGTACATCAACAGTCCATGCCTAGACTGTCCCTTCGCAGGCCAACACACTGGCCATCCCAGTCACCAGCTCTGGCAAAAGGGCAACAAAATCAGCTGCACCCTCTGTGGACTACAGCTTCACTTGGATGGGCAGCAACGTATCATCAGCACCTCGAGATTCCTGAAGGAATGCAAAGGGGCTGGTCTCAAAGGATCACCTACCGCGACCTGCATCAAAGTCTGGTTGAGCTTGGTTTGAGGGTGAACCCCAAGAAGATGGCATTCATAGCCACGGACAAAGCCACTGACCAGGCACTCAACTCCGGGATGATGAGCCACCAGCCACCAGAGCCACCAGTCGCCACCAGTCGCCGCAGCGCTTGAACAAAGCCCAACACCGAAAGCTCAAGCTGAGAAACCTCAAATAAAACTGCGTTGAGATTGCGGCTCCGGCTCCATCGACGAGGCATTCAACCAGTCGCCCTATGGGGCATCGAAGGGCAGGGTCTGGCACCGAGATACAGAACGGCGCTCTGCCAAGCTATGGGCAAGCAGCTCGGTCACCATGCAGGGGGACTCTTAGACAGCGCCTATGACCTCCACAGCAACATGTACATGGACCCAGCGGATGAGGTTGTGATACACCATATCCGCGCCATGTACAAGCTGGTCCAAGCATTGCCAAGCATGGCCAGCGGACCAGCTAGCATACCTGGAACAAGCATGGGCCAACATACACCAACAACTGATGATCAAAACCCATCCTTGGTATACTGTCAAAGGGCCCATGGCCGCCACCATCGTCTACCTGCAGGAATGGAACTGGCAGGCCCAAGATCTGAGGCCCAAGATCTGTTTCGATGGAACAACATTTCGCTCCAAGACCCAGGGTGGAAGATAGAGCAGACTTTACTTCAAGAAGCGCGTCAGCAACGCGCCAGGGTCCAGTGTGCAGTGCAGCACCGTGAACACAGCAAGCCCAAACCATGCCCCATATGCCATGTCCCGGCCACACCCAAACACATCATATGGATGTGTAAGTGGCGCAGAGAACAACAACATGAGGCTATGCCCCCGGAATGGATGGATCGCATCAATTGTCCTGAGGAAGAACCACTATGGTCAGCAGGATGGATTCCCTTAAAGCCTCAGGATCACAAACGGCAAGACCGCCCCTATCAAGGGCATGGCGCATGGCAAACCTTGCAACCTTTAGCGCCACGTCAACAGCAAGGTTGGGCATTCATGCTCGATGCCACACCCTCAACCTATGACACCAGAAGCCAGCTCTGGGTGTTCGGGTTATGCGTCCACACCATGTCACTGGGCCAACTCCGCAGACTAGGAGCAATCAGCGGCGTTGCACCAGGGCCACAAAACAAAGCCAGAGCACTGTTTGCAGGATTGGTAGCCTTGGCCCAGCGCACCACAACCCCAGTCAAAGTCACTGTCCAACTGACGACAGTCTGGCAAGCCTGGAACAACCCACATCACCGCCAACCATACCTGGACCTCCTGGCTGAATCCAGGACCAGGACACGCAGCGAGTGACCGTGCTGTACATCAGCAAGAGCGCCAGATGCCGCTGGCAGCGAGCCCCAGTTGAGACGACGAGAACGAGATGCTGCCTTGGTCGCGTGGGAAAGGGCTGATGCCCTCCATGACAGACGCCGCGCTGAATGGCAGCAAACCCTGAACAGAGACCATGTCCTCATCTACAAACATGCCACAGGCTGGCCAAGATCTATGCAGACAAAACACACTACATCCATGAGAAGGCGCCTAGGCAACAAGGGAAGCAAACCAAGCAACGCAAGAAAAACCTTGTTCAACAACGCAGGAAGCCATGGACCAACTTCCATCACCGATGGGAGTGCGTGTGGCGCTCGCAGTGCGCCAAGGCTTGACAGCCAGCATCTTGGAGGAGAGGCTCCAGGAGCAGTGTCCACAGATGTTGATCGACAACCAACGACCGGCCCCACCGGAGAAAGAACCAGCTCTCCACAAGAAACCGACCAGAGCTCAAACCATAAAAGAGCTGTTGGCCCAACAAACAGCACAGCCGCCAGGCAAAGAAGACCACCTCTTTGCCGAGACCACTGGCTACTTGAAGTGCAACAAGTGCGGGCTCAACATCCGCAAGAGAACGAATGAAGCAGCCTTCACTGACTTTGTCCAAAGCAAGTGTGTGGACCAGGCCTACACCGCCGGCCACACTGGGCGTCCCACACATGCCTTATGGCAGAAAGGAGACAAAGTCACCTGCACTTTGTGTGGGATACAATGGCACCTCGACAGCCAGAAGAGAGTCATAGGCGCAAGTGCATTCCGCAAAGAATGCCGTGGTGCTGGACTGAAAGGTTCCCCGCCACTAAGTGACTACTTCAAGAAGCGACCAAGCCAAACTGATAAGGCGACCAATGAGCGGCCAGCGCTCAACCAGATGGCAGGAACCCTGGACCCACGCCACAGAGTGGGCAGAACCTGCAGGCACTCAGGCAGACCACCAGCTACCAGAGTGAAGCGCCAGCTGAGGAACACACCTATAGCAAAGCAGCAATGCAAGCCCCATGGCCACGCCGCAACGGTCCATACCACAAGCCCGGAACAACGAAGGGCAGACTCAGGCCGCCGCTCAGCCAGCGCAGAGGACGACCCCGAACCAAAAGAGGACCCCCCTGAAGAAGATGTCATGCTGGTAGACTGCTTCTAAGCAGACCTCTACGGCAACAGGCGGCTGCAGAAACTGGCCAGTGAGCCTTCGCAGACTCAGCAGATCGAAAAGACACCTTTAGGAAAAATACACGCATGCGTGCATACATACATGCATGCATACATACATACATACATACGTACATACATACATACATACCGTGAAACAGTCCCTGACGTTCGTGGAAGATCGACTGCTCAATGCTTGGCCCACAACAGCGGTGGGCGGGGGAGGAGCCAAAGAGGAAAACCGGGTGCTACGGGTCTGGACAGGGTTCCAAGGTCAGGTTTAGACTAGTGAGTCTTGCACTGGTAGCGGAGCTGACCCCTGGCTCTTCTGGGAATATGGGGATTGGCTGTAGGATAGGTTGTGTAACCAGGTGACTGGTTGGTTGGTTGGTTGGTTGGTTGCATTGGTTGCATCCGTGAATTTACACAAGGAAACCGCTCATCCGTGAATTGGGCCATGGGAGACCAACAAGGGCAGCGACGTCCTCTGGCAGTGGTGGGGACGGCCAGTTTTTGGTCACTACTCACTAGCTTCGACCCCGTGTCGGATGATGCTCGCGAATAACGCAGAGTAGGTGAAGTTCTTGGATGCAGTGTGCCCTGCAAAGGACAAAGCCATGCTAGCGCCTCGTCTAGCTTTGTTGTTCCGTGGCGCGGCATGGGCACAAAGCAAGACCCAGAGACCGGTTGCAAAGAGCTAAGAGGTGAGTGAACTGCAGGTCTTCGACAAGCTCGAAAAGGCGTTGTACAAGGTAGCGCAGAAGAGTGATGAGACTACAATGTCATACTCCGCTTAGAGGTGGCTATTCATGAGCTCGGCAACGTCTCCGTCAAGGACATGATGCCTTTTGTGATGCTGCGCCAGAGCGCTTTGAGCACTGATGACAAAAAGAAAGTCGTTGGGGTGACTAATGGCTCCTTTGCATATGTTCAGGTTCAGAATGCCATGCGACAGCTCTCGTCCAAGATCTTGACAGCAGGAAGTGAAAAGAAGAAA